CGGTGGTGGCGAGGTGCCATCAAATGGGTCACGACTCACAGCAGCCCCTAAGTACAGCGGAATGACACGCTCCCCAAATCCTGCCCTGTCCCACAGTCTGTTGTCCATCCGTCTCAGCGGGCGTCTTCCTCTTTTTCAAGGACTCTCTGCCAGGGATAGCGTTCTTTACCAGGGACTGCTCGCTCCTGAGAACGTGAAGGCCCGCCATCCTGGACTCGAAGGAGCATCCTGGCTGTCGTTCCCCCATGGTAGATTTGTTTGTTCTTGGGGCAATCCAGGGCACGTTCCATCTTCTTCCCCAGCGCATCCTTCAGCCGCATCATTTATTGTGTGGTCTTCCTTATTCACTGCCCCGCTTTCCCAAGATGACCAGCCCATTGAAAAAGACCACGGCACCCCTTGGGTCAGGTACAGCCTAGTTCTCAAAAGTGACAGCTTTGCTCTACAGAGAGGGTCGAAGGCAATAACGGGTTAACAATCCCCAAACACTCTGCCATCAATCGAGTGGCCACACACTCAGAGTGACCCCGAGGGCACAGTAGGACCGCCCCAGAGGGCTTCTGAGAGCGCCCTTCTTTATGAGAGCGGGCTCTCTCCCTCAGGACAGCTCACGGATTTGACCCACCAGCAGCCCAGCACTTAACCCGCACTACCACCAGGGCTCCTTTCAATACAGGGTCGACATTATAATTTTTAAAAATCTGCTTTTGATATGTGCACAGGAGGAAGACAATAACTTAGACTTTGCAATTTGTAATTGATTGTTTTGGGGGGTGCTTACCAAAGCCATGTTTAACTGAACTCCTGGTCTCCGGGGAGACTGAGGTGCTACCAATATAATGACCATCGCCAGACTATGACTCCGCGAATCCATCACCACAGTCATGAGAAAGACCAATGACACACCGAATTGGCTCTGCAATGGTGACTTTTGCCATTCGAGAGAATCAAAGCCCAGCATGTGGAGCAACATGAGCGGCAAGTGTTAAGTCAGTAATGGCCCAATGGGCTGAGCATCGTTAAAGCAGCAGACTTTCCCTAGTATTTCTCCCCTTAGAAAGCACCACAACACGATACTGTCCATCCTTGGTGGGCCCTGTATGCTTGACAGGTAACATTCTAGCAGGCTAGAAGAAAGACTTTCAGTGTTCCTTTCAATAAGCCCTGCAAAGCCAGGTTAAAATAGGGTTTCCCGAAGAGTCTTCCTGGTGATAAAGCCTTTCCCATCCTGTGTAGAGCCACGGCATAGTCTTTCAACACAATCTGAGGTCCCCGCAGAATAAACTGGCTGATCTCTCATTACCAGGGAAAGCGCTAGAGAGGGATCCTATTTAATAAACTAAAACATCGTGGCAGTCGCTTTCATCTCTGACGAAATTTCCCCTGGAGAATTGCTCCTTCCAAACGTGACGTGCATATGCGATTTTATGTTGAATCCAGCAGGATTCGGTCAGATCATTCCCATGGCCGGCGCAGTGCTACAGAGACTGTGAGGCCTGCCACCGAAATCAATGCGGGCCTCCCAGGTTCAGTGAATTCCTTCCCGTGGATTGGGAGCATTTTCATTAAAAATTGGGACACTGACTAAACTGCCTCCCCTCACAGTGAAAAGTGTGCAGGTTCTTAAATTTCAGTCAATATAATATGAATGTAAATGTATTCAGCAATGGTATTTCGAATGCCAGCACACCCCTTTGTAGCACAGGAGACTCTGGGAACGTCATGCATCTTGGCTTGGGAAATCGCCCTTGGCCGTGGCAAAGCTGCCTCACTCCCTTCACTTAAATATGTCTAGCGTGTCTGGCCACGGATAAACTGCCTGCGTTTGTGATAGGGGAGCTTTAGCTCTGGGCTCTGAGTCTGTGTTCAATCCACTCCCCACCTGAGCTCCATTTACGTTCAATCAATACTCTGTCATCCGGAACTGGAGGGCCAAGTACAGAGGATCAAGTGTATCACTCGCAGCAGTGAGGGCGAATTTAAAAGTCATGGGATGGATCCCTGGCGGGCTTTGTCTCCATGACAATCTCAGTTGTGTGTGTGTGTCTCCATAGGTCATTTCGAGGAATCTGAAATGTCTACATACATAACCCCAGAAGAGGAAGAGGCAACCGAAGAGACTATTGCAAGCACATTTACTGTGGTGACCGCAGAACCAACGCTCACTGCAGACACCAATTCAACCCTCACGAATCACCAGGAGGAAAGCCAGCTGGAATTTATACTGACGGTGTTGATCCCATTGGTTTTAGTGGTTCTCCTACTTTTATCGGTGGTTTTCATTGGAGGCTACTACAGACGAAAAAGAGCTAAACAAGGTCAGTGTTGAGTGCGGTCCCGTTTCCAGACAATTGCTTCCTGCGTTAGTGAATAATCAATGAACGTAACTTTATTTTTCATTTTCACAGAGCCTTCTAGCCAAGGATCTCAGAGTGCTTTGCACACGTGTAAGTATTACCCAGTAGCTGCTTGGCGTTGGGGATCAGGTAGAATGAACGGAAACATTTTAAAGTTAAGCAGTAAGGACGGCACAAAATGATAAATAATAGGGACTGTTTTCCGATGAATTTGTCCAGGGTTTAGGAATGTCATATTCCTGCTTCTAATTTTTTTTAAAGTGTGCTTTCCGCCTAAATTGAAGTTAAAAATACACTGTTGCCATATTTGCCACTCTCTCTGTGGTGCCAATGGTTAAGTGTTCAACTACCAGCTGGTTGGCACTTTGAACTCACCCAGAGGCTCTGTGGAAGCCTGGCTGGGTGTGCTGCCGCCACTGCAGACAGGCAGCTCCTAGCTTTGAAAACTCTCATCAGCAATGATAATCTGCACCTCCGGGGTGCGCGTGAGTCAGGATCACCTGCCTGGTAACTAACAACAATGAAACCAGATTTTGTACATCATCCAGATGGGGGCTCTCTACACTCTTGGCAGTAGGTCCACGTAATACTTTCCTGCTGCAAGAAACGGGGAACTGACGGAACAGTCACTGGCCAGATTAGGGTTAGAGGGATATATGGGAAGAATGTGGGTCGATTTCATAAGGAGACGGTTCTTCCATTATCTTAGGCTGGATTCGATGAAGCAGCAAAACCCACGAAGCTTATCAATCGATAGAAAGAGAGAGACACACACATATCAAAGAAATAGCTCACACATTAGTAAAGGCAGGCAAATTCCAAATCCATAGGTCAAACATCAGGCTAGAGACGTCTCTTAATTTGAGTAGCCACAGGGGCTGATAAATCCAAGATGGGCAGATCAAGGGCCAGGTTTGTGGGTGCAAAGGCAAATGGACCCAAGGTTGGCAGAGAAGAAAGCAGACTGCTGATGACTTCCATGGTCAGCAAGCAACATAGTCTGCTGTTGACTCAAGTCCAAAGAATTAGAGGTCAGAAGACAAGCCAGTTGTAGGATCCAGACCCAATAAAAGCAAGTATACCTTTCCACAGCATCGACTGATATTGGAAGCAGGACACACCTCCTGAGAAAATGTCCTTTCAACTGATTAACTGCTAAGAGGCGATTACATTGTATTTTGAGCTCATCTTGGGGGGTTACTAGGTCATAACTGGCAAACCACTGAGAATCCTAACAGCCAGGTTGACCCAAAAACTTAGCTATCACATCCACCTATATTTCTGGTTGGTCCCCCGCCACCTCCCCCCCCTGACCCCAGCCTCAACTTGATCTTGAAGAGGCCTGGTCAAGGCATGGTCCTTTTTTCCATTAAAAGTATGTTGGCTTTGATAGTGAAACCATGAACTGGCTATAGTGAACTTTATTTTGAAACCATAGGAACAACTGGGAGGATGTGCGTGACTGGGTGGTATTTCATTCTGTTGCGCATCAGATCCCCGGGGGCCAGAACCAACGTGGTAGAATCTAACCACCACCATCAATCTGAAGGGAAATTCCCTTGGTCTAAGCCACACTCTGATTATAATCCCATTTTGATTATACGAACATTAGGCTACAATTTCAGGGTTGTTCTAGACCCAAAGAAGACTGGGGTGATTTTGACTGATGTTGGTAAAAATGATTTCAACTTTTAGATTTTTAGAATCAGTTTCTTATAAATGACTAAAGGCATGAGGACTTGTCTAATAAGATACATATTCACAAATTGCTTACAAGACTCATCCATGTCCTTCTCACCCACCAGTGAGGAAGGCCTGGTTGGTCCAATGGCCTGGAGGCCTTGCCAGATGAGAGGCTTTACACTCTGGGTAGGATGGTTTGCTGGGGAGGAAGCTTTGAAGTACATTTCTTTTTGTGGCAGGGGCTGATATCACAGGTTCAAGAGAAAGGTACATCCACATGCTTCCCTGGCGCTGGAATTTTAGGTGACCCACTAATAGTGGTCAAGTGTGCGGTCCTTCGTTCGCTAAAGAGAAAGCAGAGGCCAACAGGACGGCATATCTCCCAGTTGTTTAACCTAGGGGAAACAAAGAACTTCCGGCCTACAATTAAATCTCCACAGCTGATCTTACCAAATTAGATATATAGGGCCGGGTTAGGGACCTCCCGTCAAACAATCATGTCTTTAGTCTCTAAATCCAGAAATCTGTTGTTGTTGAACTTATTATGAGAGAAAGTCTCACAGTTCAGATGTGGCCCAGCATCCTGGCACGGTAGTCTCCCTTGAAGTTGTCACCATCCCCATCACATGTATTGTAGTTTTCACGGCGCTTCCATTCCTGCTGTGTGAATTTTCCTTCTGATCGGCTTGACAAACCTCCACTACATTCCTCAGTGCCCGGTGCCAAAGTTTTCATGGTGTCTTGGATACTCCTTCCTCTTCTGAACTCTCGCAGCATGTTGATAATTTGATCACCTGCAGTGTTCACAGTATCTATATCAGGGGTCCTCAAACTTTTTAAATAGGGGGCCAGTTCATGTCTGTGTTAGTCTAGGTACTTTAGAGAAACAAATCCACAGAAACTCATGTATAAGAAAGAGTTTTATATAAAGATTAAGTGTGCATCAAGAAAACATCCCAACCCAGTGCTGCCCAAGCCCACAAGTCCAACATTAACCCCTATGTCCAACACCAATCCACTAAGTCCTCCTCCATCTCACAAAGCAGATGCAATGAGACTGCAGGAGGAAAGCCGAGTCAGTGAATGTGTAAGCATCTCTGTGCTGGCAGGGGTCCCCACCTGCTCCAGCATCCAGGGCTGCATCGGGGTAGGTCCATGTGGCTTCTCCTCAGGGATGTCTTGCAGGAAGTCAGCCTTGCAAGCTGAAGCTGGGAACTGCTAAGGCAGCTGAACCCTGGTGCGACCATCATAAAGCAAGAGACCCAAGAACTCGAAAGGCGAGACTCACCGAGCTGTTTATCCCTCCACCCTTCAATTAATCCCACATGTGTTTATCGACCAGGTTGGCACAATAAACTAACTCACTGTCCCTTAGACCCGTTGGAGGGCCAGACTATAGTTTTTAAAAAAACTATGAACAAATTCCTATGCACACTGCACATATCTTATTTTGAACTAAAAAAACAAACGGGGCAAAAACACCCTGCAGGCAGGATAAATGTCCTCGGCGGGCCACATGTGGCCCATGGGCTATAGTTTGAGAACGCCTGATCTATATTGTCTACTTGTCTGTCTTTCCTATGTTTTCTGTAAAGGCCAAGATCCTCCTCCTTTGCCCCATTAATAGCATGGCATTGAGCTTGTGAGTACAGGTTCTAGAACCATACTGCCTGGTTAGATTTTGCACTTCATAGCTTCGTGACCTTGCTGGTCCTTTTTCCTCATCTGCAAATGAGGATACATCAAAACACACCACCAGAGAGGTTGTGAGAATTAGATGGATTCATGCATGAAAAGGACTTCAAACTAAATAAAAGATATAGTGACTGCTCAATAAATACTTGTTGAATGAATGAGTCACGGAAAAGAGTTGTTGTTAGATGCTGTAGAGTCAGGACCGACCATTGACTCAGGGCGACCCCATGTGTGTCTAGACTTAGCAGGTTAGCACAGCCAGGATTAGGAAACGAGGCGGAGACAGTCATTAGTCACAGCAGCACTTCGGCTCAGCCAGCCACAGTCTCGTTCTGGTCTTCAGCCTCTTAGCCACATGGTCCCTTGGACGCTGCCTCCAGAGTAGGAAGCCCGCCTGTGGCTCTGCTTCAAGGTCCCACAGTCTCCGGGCTGTTTCTCTGCTTCGTCTCCTGGTCTCTTTGCCTCGGCCTCTGGGCTGACTGGCTCCTTTGCTCCATCTCAGAGTCTCTGTGCTGCAGCCCCTGGTGCCTCTGTCACGTTAGAAAGAGATCTGGAACAGACTCTTCTGGTGGTCCTGTCAGAGAGGGGAGGGATGGCCTTGGTGGACATGTGGTTTTTGTTTTGTAGCTGACCCTATACTCAAAAGGAAACAAAGGGTGTGTCTTGGTTCACATTTCTGCTAAGGTCAGGACATAACCCCACCTTAATCTTATCCCTTAGCAGAGAAAGCCCTCCCAAATGGGATGGGGGATGGGGGGGTGGAGGAGGTTGTGGGAGGGAGGGGAAAAAAGAGCAGCTGATACCAAGAGCTCAAATAGAAAGTAAATGTTTAGAAAATGATGATGGCAACATATGTACAAATATGCTTGACACAATTGATGTATGGACTGTTGTAAGAGCTGTAAGAGCCACTGGAGACCCAGTGTGGGAATTGCACCTGATCTGACCCCACCACACAGATGCAACAGAACAGCAAGGGGAACAGAGCAAGGAAATCCCCAGGGAATACTAAAAATAGACTTTGGGGCCAGGGAGTGGCATTCCATCAGACTCTACTAGAAAACACTCCTAAATGTCAACAAACAGACCTTGAACTATTTGCAGGCTTTTCTTTTTTCGTCATTGTTTTTTTGTTGTTGTTCTGTTTTGTTTTCTTTTGTTGCTTTGTTTTGCTCTGTCTTGCTTTTTGTGCATATTATTATCTCTTCAGGTCTATCTAGATAAGATAGGTGGGACAAACAATCTGAAGGAAAAAACAATAGGACCAATGGTTCTGGGGGCGTGATGAGGGCGAGGGGGAGGCAGGGGAAAGGAAGTGGGTGTTAACAAACCCAGGGACAAGGGAACAACAAGTGAACCAAAATTGATGGTGATGAGGGTGTAGGAGGCCT